TCGAAAATTCCTTGGGCTAGCGGCGTATTTGCATAAGTATTCACGCAATTACGCCGAGATGACTGTGCACCTCTCTCGTTTGTTGAAAAAGAACGAGAGGTGGTTATGGAACGCTGAATGTCAACGCTCCTTTGAGGGTATCAAGCAGAGCTTGATACAATCCCCAGTCCTAGCAATAGCCGATCAGGACAGGCCATTTCATGTGGTCTGTGATGCCAGCGATTTCGCAATCGGCTGTGCATTAATGCAGTACGATCTTGAAGACGTTGAACGCGTCGTCTGCTATCAGTCGCGTCAGCTGCAACCAGCTGAGCGGAACTATCCAGTGCATGACAAGGAACTCCTTGCCATGAAGTATGCACTCGCGAAGTTCAGAGTCTATCTATTAGGAGATAGACCCTTCGTTGTTTACACTGACCATGCGTCATTACGCACGGCAGTGAACAGCCCGCACCTTTCACAACGAATGGCGCGGTGGTTGTCATTCTTTGCAGAATACAACTTTACGGTAGAGTACAAACCAGGACGACTTAATGTCGTCGCTGATGCACTCTCACGTCGTCCCGACTTCGAAACAGTCGCGAAACCCAACAGTGAGACAGTCACTGTTGCGGTTATGACGTCCTCAGTTCCATCTACAATGTTGTATGATGATGTGAGGCGGGCTTACGCCCAAGATGGTGAGATAGTGAAGTTGTTATCACATCTCTCCCAACCATCCCGAGAATCGTTGAAACGATTGTCGCCTGCGTATCGATCTGCATCAGATCGATACACTACTCGTAACGGTTTACTGTATTATACAGCCGTTTCTGGTGACACACCACGTGTTGTCATCCCAGATGATACTGATCTGCGTTTGCGGATCATGTTCGAGTATCACGATGCTCCTATAGGAGGACATCGTGGCCGAGAGAAAACATATCTCACGGTAAGTCGAGACTTTTACTGGCCCCGCCAGTATCAGTTTGTGCGAAAGTATGTTCGCGCATGCGAAGTTCGCCAACGAGTGAAGTCAAGTCCTTCACTGCATGCACCTTTACAGCCTCTACCGGTTCCGGCTGAGTGCTGGGAATCCATCTCAATGGATTTCGTCTTCGGGTTACCCAAAGACGCACGCGGGAATACGGGTATTCTCGTATTTGTTGACAGATTCAGCAAAATGGTACACCTTGTGGCTGTACCAGAGACAATCACGGCAAGTGGCTGTGCTTGTGTCTTTATTGACACCATCTTCCGACTTCATGGGTTGCCCCGTGAACTCGTATCAGACAGAGATCCACGATTCACTGCTGATTTCTGGCGGTCCGTGTTCAAATCACTCGGAACGCGCTTGAAGATGTCAACATCTGATCATCCAGAGTCAGATGGTCAGACGGAACGTGCCAATCGTGTCCTTGAAGAGATACTTCGAGGATACGTACACTCCTTTAAGAGTTGGAGTGAGTTTTTGCCAATGGTAGAGTTTGCCATCAACAACTCGGTGCATGCGTCCACGACACATACACCGTTTTTCGTGAATGGCTTACGCCATCCGCGTGTACCCACCTTACTAGAGTGTAACTCTGGTTTAAGGGGGGGAGGGACTCGCGCGAGCAAAAACCGATTTGGTTCACGCTCATCACGCTCTGACGAAGAAGTCATTGCGTTTGATGCCGATATCGATAACATCGATATCGAAGAAGATGATGCCAGTGAGAGTGCGGAAGCCCTCACTGAAGACAATGATCCCAGTGAGAGTGCGGAAGCCCTCACTGAAGAAAAGGTTGTTGTTGCTGCAGTGCGCTCACAGCGCACTGAAGCTAACGAGTCATCAGATGAGTTCATACTGGCTCGTGAAACGGTAGTCCGTTTTGTGCAAGACTCCATCGCCGAAGCGGTGGATAAGCAAAAAGCAAAACGCTGACAAGAATGGAAGGGCAAACACTCTTTTATTTAATAAAGGTGACTTAGTCCTACTGTCTACGGTTAATCTACCAAAGCATGTAGTGACTAACTTGGGTAGCAGTAAACTACTACCCAAGTACATTGGCCCATTTCGTGTATTGCACCGCCTAGGCAATGCATACACGATCGAGTTACCACGTAAGATGCGAACGCATCCCACGTTTTACGTTGGTCGGCTTAAGCCGTACCATCAGTACGCTGCTTCTTCCGATGAAGAACGCCCTTGCGCTCAAGCATCTCGCAGAGAGCCTTGTGCTCCCGATGGTGGGCATCAACAAGGGTCTGAAGAGCAGCTATCTGATCCCGAGACCGATCAACAATCCCACGAGCTACCCTTAGCTCGTCACGAAGAGATGTCAGAGATCTCTCGTTCTCAAGCTGAGCAAAGGCAAACTCAGCTCGATGCTTCGAGGCAGTGTCCACCATCTGGAGACGCCTATTCCGCTCATGCTCGAGATCGTCGCGTAACCCTTGCGTTACGCGATCAAAGAAGCTCTCGGGAACACACCGATCCACATGATCGTGTGGAGAGCGTCTTTCCTCCTCCTCCACCTCCATTAGAGGACTCTCGCGGTGGCCAGCGCTATCTAGTTGAGCAGCTGTTGAACCACCGCGACGTGAACGGACGTCGGACGAGTTACCTCGTCCGGTGGCGCGGCTATCCCCCGTCCTGGGATTCTTGGGAGCCCCGCTCCCAATTGATGGTTGACGTACTGGGTCTGGTCGAGCAGTACGACGCGGCACATCCTGTGCCGCAGAAGGACCGCCGGAGAAAGTCTTCCCGGCACGGTCGTAAAGGGATTTCAGGTTGTCAATCCCTTCGTACATCTCAGTAGAGACACGTACGCGCCACCACGGGCTGGTAAGGAGGTAAGCCTCCTTAGGTGCTCGTGCAGAGTTGTTCACACAACATGGGCACGAGTCTCCCCAAGAGAGGCAGGGTAATCCTTTCTCCCTTGACAGAAGATGCAGCTTGTAGCGTGCACCTGTCGGTGTTCGCTTTTCAAACTTATCACGAGCTTTGATAAGTTTGTCGTTCCAAGCGTCACGACCTACATCCTCGAGGTTATGGATGTAGGCGTTCCACGCCTGAAGTAGTGAGGGACCATCACGTTTGTGATTCCCACTGTACCATCGATGTCTGAAGAAAGCATCGATGAAGAACTCATGTTCAGCGCGATAGTCTTTCGCGCTGGGGTCAAGGTGATGGATCCTTGACGAATCGAACAATCGTGTTCGATAACGATCACTCGTCGTCGCCGACAAGTGATCCATGACGGATTTTGGAGGCATCCATGCCTTCTTTTCTGGAGCGAGACGCAACACATTGCGGTCCCGCTCTTCCTGCGACGTGCCGACAGAAGTACTGGCACCTCGCTGTGAAGTGGTGTCCATTGGAAAACCGACACCACTATTAGCGCCCGATTCTCGCGACCTCGAGCGCCTTCGCTTCGGCGATGGTTCATCTGACTCATCAGATGAACCAAAGATGCTGCGACGCAAAGCATCGTCCATGCCACGCTTGGCAGGCGGCTTAGATTCAATCGCCGTCGATACGGATCCGTCATCCGTATCAGGAGAGTACGAGACACCGAGCTCGTACTCTGTGAAGACACGAGTGTCTTCATGACCAGCGCCTGCGTCACCAAGTGACACAGGCTGGGTCTCTTCAGCAACCGATGGGACATCAGTTGCTGTTGTTTCTGCTTCGGCGTCCGCACAGAGACGTGCAGACGCGCTCTCGGCGGCCTTGCTCGCGCATCGCATGGGCTTGTTTACCATGCGATAAAATGTTGGAAAGTGGACGCGGACCAACAAGTGCAAACCCTGTCCCAAATGATTTGGGACGAGTATCCATTTAGTCAATCAGTCACTAAAGTGACTGATGGTTAAGGGGGGGTGATGTAACGGGGTGAATCGTTACATAACAATTTATAAGAAATTGTTAATAGAATATAACTATAAGAGTTATATTCTCAGAATATTGTCATAAGGACAAATATTCTGTAGCACTTACAAGCAGTTCCTAATTGGTTGATATAGGCCATTATATCAACCAACGAAGACGCGCCACGACAGACGCACGCAATGAGTGGTGAGCAGATAACTGATTTACACATTTGTATTTAGACATAGTTAGATGAAGATAAATAGTGATTTATTGCAGACATTAACTATTATAAATACAGTTCTACTTTTTACTCTAACCAAGTACTCGCTTCTTCTTACCGTCTTCCTCTGCACGTACGAGTGTACGTGAAGTTACGAGGCACCGCCTTATTCTGTTATCAGAATAAGTAGCTTGTACTGTCACCAGTACAAGCTTCAGGAGGCCCCGTTACAAAGAGGGTGTGTAGACGGGCGCTTATACAGCTGCCACGTGCTACCACGGCACACGCACCTAAGAACAGCGAGGAAGCGGTTAAACCGTCTACCTTTCGCGTGTGGTGGTGGGGATTGGCTGGTCGACCGCTTAAGCGGTCGCACCACCAGTTGCCGCTCGCGTAAAGCGAGAGCGCAACGAACTTCTAAACAAGAAAACACTTACGACACTAGAAGCTTATTCAGCTTCTGCGTGCGCAGTGTTCTTTAGTTAGCAAATTCAAGACTGAGTTATATTTAATGAATTAAATATAAACTAACCACTGGTTGGGTAATATAAAAAGATTGGATACGCGACTCTTTAGAAGCCTATCCTTGCGTGCTGAGGTTAAATAATTTAGCCTCGCTAATGACGTCCGTCGTCGACATCATGATGCCTAGCTTCAACTAGCGTCATCCCTTCTCATGTGAATACATCAATGGATATCACATTCACGAGGGTGGTTCACATTTGTGTGTCTCACCCAAGTGGCAGCTCCAAAGTAATTTACGTATACTTTGAGCTTACCCAATAAATATGCACTGTAAAATGGATACGTGTAACGTATATTTTTACCCTGTTACACCATCCCCCGTTTAAAAATGATTTTTGCATTTCGTAATACATCGCCTAGGAGACAGAGGGACCGCGAGTCGTACACATACGCGCCGCTCAGTCCACTCGAGTTCTCATGCCAACAAAACGTGGTAAGGCTAATGGGTCACCTGAAAAGGTGCCCATGCAGTCTAGTACTAAGCGCACGCGCCGCGATGATTCGCAGCCGTCGCAAAGTACCCCAGGCGCTAGGAGCAACCTTTCATCTCACAATAGTGTGGATGATGAACTGTCTGTCAGTGTGGACTACAATGATACCACGCCACTGCCATCACCGCAAAGTGGTGATGTGCAAAGTGCGTTGATGGGATACATGTCGCCACCACTTGAGGCACCCAACCTTGAGGGAGCTTCCATGCTTCCTGCAAGTGAATTCCATGCCGCGTCGCCTGCGTCTACGAGCGCAGCGAATATTTCTGAGCGCGCTAACTCTTAAGAAGTAGGCGCGTCTCAACAACAGGTCGGCGATTCGAAATCGTTTGCCTCTGCGGGTGTGAATCCTCCTTCTGACGTCTTGACCATCCAGAATGGAGAGTCAGACTCAGGGGAGTGTGAGCTTAGAGCTCCACCCAGTTCACAAGTGGTCTCACTAGCCCGCCGTCGTGAGGGCGGCTACGTGAGTGGTGGCCTGCCAACAATACCACCTCCATCCGAGTGGTTACGCTCGAATGGATCCAGTGCGACGCTTTTGCAGCGTGCCACTATTGACGCTCGTAAACTTTAGTGCGTCTTTCCGTTATGGAAAAAGCAGGGCAAGGAACAATTTCGTGCTTACCCTATTATTGTCGTGCTGGGTTCAATGAAACAGCCGACGAGTACGAAGCAGAGTTTCTGCGCCGTGTTACTCCGCATGAAGATGCATTAAAAGAACGGTCGCAGCAAATCAGCTTCGCCATGACGCGTGCGAAAGAGATCTTGGGCGGTAAAATACCCCCAATTGACTCTCGCTACGCCTTTCCTGATAATCTTTATTCGGACCTAGCAGAAAGACTGCAGCTGGTGCTTCTGCACATATGCAGACACCAGCCCAGGCACGTCGACGCGCAAAGCGTCAACAGGATTTTAAGAGTCAAAGCTCGATGGTTATCCTTTCCACTGAACATGGATTTAAAGCTTCTGCTTCACAAAGCAGTGGGCCAAAAGCCTTTCAACCAAAAAAAACGCTTATTCCCTGCCGCGTCCACCAACACAGGTGGCGCCCGGTAGGAGTGGCGATTACGCCCACCTATTCGCGGACGCCTACCCCGCTGCAATTCAGACGCAGGTGGAAAACGCTGCGCTGAAGAAGTGGGTGACTGATCTCAAAAGTCAAGTCTCGCGACTGACTTCGGGTCTTCTTGATGTGAGAACGAAGGACAGTCAGGGGTATGACCGCCTGAAGGTTCGCGTGGATATGCTAGAGCGACTGGCGCCGTGAGACCCGCGCCAAGCGCGGAGTCCTCCTCGTTCACCGAGTCCTCTACCTTCGCCGTGTGGGAGTCACTCGACGCCGGGAAGCTATCCGTCTTCCCCGTCGCCTCCTCATCAACGACGCTCGACTCACAGTCGGCGTCACCATCGGTCTCGTCAGACCGGTGCGGACATGTGATTTTTGTGGATCCACATACCGCTTCAGACGACCCACGTAAAATACGGGGTGCATCTTCATGTAGGGTGGGAGAGTGAGCCTATAGGTTAGGTCCCCTACTTCCTCGACCACCGTGAATGGCCCAACAAATCGGGGCAATAGCTTAGTAGTACCACCGGGTTGTACAGAGATTGCATTTTTAGGAATACTAGCGGCACGTGATAGCACTTTATCCCCAGCACTAAGGTATTCATTGTTATTACGACCATGTTGGTCCGCATACTGCTTTTGCTCATCCTGTGCGCTTGCCATCGCGTCACGGACTTTAAGTGTGATGGCTAATCGCTCATCCACAAAGCGCTAAGCTTCGCTCACGCTTTTAGCACTCAGCTCGCCTATAACGCCTCCAGGAGGTCGTTCATGGGTCGAAGCTGTTGATAACACTAAGGTGTCAAGGAGCACAGGCATTTCTTGCGGTGCCTCTTCATCGACACCTATAGGTGTCGTGATCACTGCTAAATGAGCAGTGTCACTAGGGCAACCTTAATTACCTTTCTTTTTGCACCGAGCGAAGTGAGAGGCCCTGCCCCACTAAGACTCGGGCTGCGCACAAACGAGACTGGCGTCCGAGGATGGCGCAGTCCGTTATTATAAAACGGTGTTTCACCCGTACTGGCGTGAACACTATTATTATCAGCGAACTCCACGAATATCAATTGCTTGCTCCATTCAGTAGGAGTTGCTACTGTACTCAATACAATCGCCACAACTCGATTGGCACGTTCCGTTTGTCCATCGGTTTGGGGATGATCGGCTGTTGACATGTGGAGCTTGCTTCCCAGCAGCTCAAACACATGACGCCCAAAACCTGACGTAAAACGCGGATCCCGATCCGACGCAATGGACTCGGGCATCCCGTGTATTCGATACACGTGATTGAGGAACAAGAGGGCAGCCTCTTTTCCCGAGATCTTGGTGCTACATGGCGCTAAATGCACCATCTTGCTCAGTCTGTCGACAAAGACAACGAGCCCCGTCCTGCCTTAATGGTCAGGCGGTAAGCCAAACTTGAAGTCCAAACTGACCGACTTCCAAAATTCAGTAGGAATCGGCAGTGGCTTCAGTGGCGCATTGCTAGAAGGTACAGGCTTAATGCGCTGACACTCTTCGCAGGAGCAAATATAGTTGGCCACCCACCGATATAGGTGGGGCCACCAAAATTCCTCTGACACTCGTAAGAATGTACATTAACGGCCTAGATGCCCACAAGATGGCGCATCATGGCACTCGTGCAGTATCATCAGCTTGAGATCCGTGTCATGAGGGACATCAATTCATAAGGGATCACAAGGTGACAGCTGATGCCATAACAGGCCATTACTGTAGCTAAAGCGATTTAGCTGCGCTCTCAGGTGCGACGGAAGGGTAACCTTAATCCCACCAAAATGATCCAACAGCAGGCGACAATGATCGTCCGGACTGTAACACTCCTTTATATCGGGGGCCATGGGGCTCGTCACATGGTATACCATCATGGCTGCCAATGTTGAAACTCAACTTGAGCTTTCGCACGAGACACACTTTCATGGTGTCTGGCCTCGAAGTCCGGTCTGAGCGATAACGCGTTAGCCAAGACATTCTACTTACCCGGCTTGTATTCAACTTTGGAATTTAATTCAGAGTAGAATGTCCGCCATCTCGCCATTCTCGGCGAGAGGTGCGGTTCATTTATAGCGGTCCGCCGTGATGCGTGATCCGTACAAACCACAAATGGTTCGGTGCCCAAGAGGAACTCCTTATCATGCACAGGGTAATTCAGCTCTGCGGCTTTCACAAGCCGAGACTGACACGAGATGACACGATCAACGCCGTTGTCAACTATCTGCAATAGCGCGCTGCCGATTGCAAAATTGCTTGCATCGCAGACGACGCTTAAGGGCCTATCCGCGTCTGGCAAAGCCAAGACTGGTGCCTTTACAAGAGACTGCTTCACTGATGTGAACTCATCTTCTTGCTATTTGAACCAGGTTCATTCTGTATCCTTTTTCAAAAGATCAGACAATGGCTTAGTCTGCTCCGCATAATTCTTGCTGTACTTATGCAAGTAATTAGCGAGCCCAAGGAATTGGCGCAGATCCTTCACATGACGTGGGACTGGCCATTCCTTTACAGCCTTTACCTTTTCTGGGTATGCTCGTACACCATGTGCACCCACGATGCAAGCCAGTACAGGTATCTCAGGGACCCCTATTATGCACTTTTGCAAGTTAATTTATAATTGAGCGTCACCCAGAGTCTGCAACACAGCGTCTAAATGACGTTGTGCAACTCTATTACGCTCAGACCGCCCTCCGCCCTATTATGCACGAATACATCGTCAAAGTAATGGGGCGCGTAGGCACGGTGCGGACGCATCACATGTGCTACCACTCGGTGAATGTTGCTGGAGCAATTTTTAACCCTTGTGGCAACACAAGCCACTCCTACATCAAACCGCTTGGGGTGCATATTGCCGTTTTGGCTACATCAGTATCTCTCATGAGAACTTGATAATAACTATCCTTCAAATCCAACGCGGAAACGATGGTCGACTTCCCCATTGAATCGAATAGGAAACCTTTCCGAGGGATCTGCATTTTCGCCGGAATGGTGGCCGTGTTCAGCTTGTTGTAAGCGTGATTTACGCGCCATCCACCTGTGGCTTTACGCACACAAAAGGTAGGGCTGCAATGAGGCGACTTGCTCTCACGTACATCTTCCGCCTTGGCTCGCTCGTCGAAGAACTCATCGATGCAATCGACTTGTTCCTTCGACAACGGCCATTGCCTGGTCACACAATACTTGGTACCAGGCCCAGTCAATCTCGTGCCTGATGCGCCTAGCGGCCGGTAGGCGGCTCGGAATTTCTGCTGGAACACATCACGGTGTTCAACAGAACATCATAGAACGGGCAACCTTCAAGGCTTCCCAGCTCTTAGCAGCGAACCGTTTCTTTTTGTCGGTCTCCAAGACGCTCTCGTTCATCGGGGACGATGAGCAACAGTCCACCACGTTCTCTTTTGGAACTGGTGCGACTATCTCGTGGATCTTTCCTTCCTTTAGTTCGGACAGGAACAGATCCCACGTCATCATCTCCGAGAGATTTTTTATCTCCTCGGCAGATGCCAAGACAAGTTGGAGCACCACAACTGAGGATGCTTTCGGCATTTTGTCTTCGACGGTCTCGAATACTCGTTCGAAGGCCCGTCCTCTTGGAGCGAGACGGATCCAAGAACCACTCGTTTTAACGTGCCCTTGATCGTCTCAATACATTTGGTGCTCGTTGTTCGAGTCACCGCGACCTTTGACCTGGAAGAAGGTGTCGTTGTTGCTATAGCTAATGCACTCCTTCCAACCGCACCTGGCTCAAGGCTCTGTGCCGGTTCTTATGGTGCTTGACTTTCCGTCAGCCCATTATCGACTGCCACAGGCCCTCGGCTCTGTGCATGACCATTAGCCTCATGACTCCCTGTCACCGTCTCATTCACTACTCCAGGCTCCACGAGCTGGGTAGTACTTGGTGACGTCTGACGTACCGTCAGCGCACCCTCGACTGTGTTGGAAACAGCATCAGTCACATTAGCCTCTCACAAGAGCACATCCTTTCCGGTGTCTTGCGTAGAGTTAGCGACTGTGCGTGTACGCCAGTCTATCCATGGTTGGTGTGTAGCCAACCAAGGCATGCCTTGTATGAGATCATATGGACTCTCAATACCTTGCACTGTGAACTTCTCTTTAAAAGAGAAATCAATAAAACTAGGGCGAGTTCAAATTGAACTCCCTCAGACTTTATAAGCGCGCCGTTAGCTGAACGAACGATCGCCTCCTCTTGCTTGCCATCCTTGCAAAGAAATTCATAACTCGCCGGACTCTTTTTCAAAGCCGCGAGTTTCAAAATATTTTGTGATGCACCTGAATCAACGAGAAGGGTCATCACTAGGTCATAGCCTCGTACTTGAGCGCTATAGACCAAAAGGGTTGAGGTCCGACCTTTCGGAACCTCAGGGACTATGCTACCCATCTATTCGATAACTTTGAACTTAGAAGTAGCTTTAGACTCCGCGTCAGTAGGGCATCCCGCCCCTACTGCACTACCGCATTTTATGAACCCGAAGTGGTTGATGCTGAACCCGTGCGTCGTGCACGGTTCTTGCCATCATCTTCTGGTAAGGGGCCTTTTTGCTGGGCGCCTTAGCCCCCAGCAGTAACTTTGACATAGCAGCGTGCCTTCACAAGGCCGCGCTAGCCGCAGTGGTAGCAGATAACATCTGCATTGCCTAACTCCATAGAAGGGGCTTCCGACTTCTCGGCCGACGGCTTATAGTAAGCTGTCCTCGAGGCACTGTTGTAGGATTGCTCCTCAACCATGGCAATATCAATTGCCTCCTCCATAGTCTTTGGCACCTTTTTAAAAAGGGCCTGACGAGATGGGCCGTGCCGTAGTCCGTTCATGAACATAGGCACCTTAATGTGATCCGGTATCGGACCCATAGTAATGGACGCCGACAGCGAACGCATCTCCTGCACATATTATCGCAGAGAGCGTTTCGCCTGTCGTGCTTCAAAAAGCGCGCCTGAAGTAACACTTTATTATCAGGCGGCTGGTACATGGCGCGAATCCTTGTTTTAAAGATCGCCCATGATAAAAAGTCATCGGCGTTTGCCATTAGCGCAGAGTAAGCCCACTCTGACGCTTTGCCACGCAAATTAGACATGGCATACTACATCATCCTGGTGTCGTCCTTGATGAGCTGCGCCATACCGCATTGCTCCACGGCTAAAAGCCAGTAGACAATCGTATGTGGGGCAGTCCCATCAAATTTCGGAGGGTCCATTCGAATGGGCCTCGGTTGATTAGACCGAGCAGAGAGCGTCTCAACAGTTCTGTTAAGCGCCTCGTTCCGAACCTGCTCGCGCATAAGCTCATCCTGAGTCTTACTGATAGACTCAGCCGCGGCATGACCATGTACCTCCGACGCATTTCTACGCTGTCCGAGTACCAATGCCTCAAATTTTCTCTAACTGAGCAATATGTTGTTCAGGAGGACAACTCAAGAGACTGGCCAGGGCTTGCTCACTAAGACCCTGCGCCAAGTGCTCTGCCAACTCCCAATGGTGTTAGGAGAAGTGTGAAAAATCATTCCAGTCCATATTAACCAATCCTCACCCTCACGCACGCTCAGAGAGACGGGTCGTGGGAAGGATTACTAGTGCTACCAAGTGTAGACGGGCGCTTATACAGTTGCCACGTACTACCACGGCACACGCACCTAAGAACAGCGAGGAAGCGGTTAAACCGTCTACCTTTTTAGCGTGTGGTGGTGGGGATTGGCTGGTCGACCGCTTAAGCGGTCGCACCACCAGTTGCCGCTCGCGTAAAGCGAGAGCGCAACGAACTTCTAAACAAGAAAACACTTACGACACCAGAAGCTTATTCAGCTTCTGCGTGCGCAGTGTTCTTTAGTTAGCAAATTCAAGACTGAGTTATATTTAATGAATTAAATATAAACTAACCACTGATTGGGTAATATAAAAAGATTGGATACGCGACTCTTTAGAAGCCTATCCTTGCGTGCTGAGGTTAAATAATTTAGCCTCGCTAATGACGTCCGTCGTCGACATCATGATGCCTAGCTTCAACTAGCGTCATCCCTTCTCATGTGAATACATCAATGGATATCACATTCACGAGGGTGGTTCACATTTGTGTGTCTCACCCAAGTGGCAGCTCCAAAGTAATTTAGGTATACTTTGAGCTTACCCAATAAATATGCACTGTAAAATGGGTACGTGTAACGTATATTTTTACCCTGTTACAGGACAGCTCAGGACAAGACGTCTCAAACGACTGCGTGGCGACCGTCTCAACACGGACCGATTAATTCCATTGTACTAACGAGAAGGGTGTCGAAGATCAGTGGCAGAGGCTGACCGGCATTAAATGGATGTGATGCTAACAGCGGCTGAGGTAGCTGTTTGTATTGATGATCTCACGATGCACTTGCCGCCAGTTTCGGATATGGTGTGCACTTAGCAATATCTAGCGGGACTGCCGATTGATTGCGAACAGTAGCAAGGATGGAAGTGCCGTTCCTCAAGAAGGCTGCAGCACGCTTCGCTTCGAAGCGTATCGTGGCTTTTTTAAAATTGTGGCAAGAATTCCAAGCTCGACGACGTTAACGTCGTTGTTGACACAGTAACTGTAAGAACGGGGCGCGCACGGACGTGTTCTTTCATCGCGTTAAGTTTAATCGTGCACCTTAGTCGAGCAAAGAAATAGAGTGCTGCTCGGATGCTTGCTACTTCGCAAGCTTTTTCCACACCAAGCGACGCAGCTTTCATGCTGTTGCACGAACCACCAACAGTGAATCTACTCCTACGTGCACGACCGCTCTATTCGCCTGAATCAACGCCGGTGGGAACGCGCGACTTAAGAAGCTACCATGGAGCTGGGGTTTATCGAAGCAGCAAAGGATCATGGGGTCATCTCTCGTGGACTGAGTCAGTACGCTTTACGTACATCATCGCCAAGAGACTCGAGATCTTAACGAAAGCACCCATCTCGATGTGACTCGACGAAGAAGTAGCGCTAGAACGTCGTAACCTCACTTCATCATGTACAAAAATTAGGAAGACACGGCACGTTAAAATTGAAACGTCAATTACATTGATGCTTCCGAAACCACCACCATCATCTGAGCTTTATGAAACTCGCCTAACTCACTACTGAAAAAAATGCTTCCAGGTCACAGGCTTTGTCCTCATTGACGGCGGTACCCCTTGAGGCCTCTTCAACTATGATCGCATTAATTTCGTGACATGGCTGCCTTCGTGGTGAGGAGCAACAGTCCTGACCTGAAGACACTGTGCTCAATTTCGTTGGTACTCTAGCTGAATATGAACTCGTGGTCAAAGCAGATGCTGAATGAAAGACCAAGTCAGACACCGATGAATTTAACCTACAAGTAGCTTACGAGGACGCATTAATGGTGCCAGTATCCGCTGAGGACAGAGACTCGGCCTATTCACCAGACCCAGAACCCGAAACAGAACCAGAGCAAGCCACCGATTTCTCACGAAGCATGCTCACGTCAGCGTATTTCAGCCCCACGCTGGTCACAGTGTCAAGCGCTGGCTTCGACTTCGGGAGCCAAAGGAAGTCCGGGTGGGTGCTGTCGGATTCGTAGACCCACTCGCCACCAATGATCTTCCCGATGTTGTTCAGCTCAAGCAGATACGTGTAGTACGCACCCGTAGTGTACTTGTTGACCTGACCAGAGGACACTAGACCGCCATCGTCGTACGTCTCGAAGATCCAGGAAAGACGCATCTTAATGTACACGATGCTCTTGGCCGCAGCGTTCCACGGGTACTTCTCGAGGCCGTAAAACATCCGGGCGGCCTCTCTCACCGACATCTTGGTCTGCTCGTACACTTTGAACCCACGCACGGGCTGGTTCCACACCTCTGTCCCAGCCGTGACATCAGCGACGAACGTGCGGTTAAGTTTACCCAAGATATTGGCAGCAGCAATGTGGAAGAAGGCAGGATTGAGGTCACGGTAGGCGTCATTCGAGTGCCGACCGTACTCGTCCTCGGAGTCGTGACCGCCATTGTACCTCGCACCAGTAAAGACCACGGGCACCGACGCACCATCGTAGACGTTCGTGATCAAAGCTTTGATGTCCAGCGGCTGGAAGGTCACGCCATTGTGTGTCACAGCACACCGCGGTTCCTCCTCAATTGTAGCAGCTGGTGCCCAGGCGTGGCAGATCCCGAACCAAGTCGGGATGCAGTACCCGGAGCTCTTTCCCGCACGTTTTCCGCACACACTTCCATCGGAACGAGACGAACAGTCGTCGTCCGACGAACACTTGGGGCGCTGGTGCATAGAGTCGACGCCGTTGTCGGCCGAGACTTTGTCCATAAAGTCACGGACGTTCAGTCCAAACGCTTGCGCGTATTTCTCAGCAGCGCTTGGCTGGCCAGGGCTCCAAACGACATTGATGCTATCTTGGAACATAGGCCAGTACGGACCAGGCCACGGAGACGGTGTAAAGACACCTACAGTCGGCAGATTGGCCAGCTTCATTTCCATCGATGTGCCAAAATAGGCCTCAAGTCTCGCAATGTCCTGGTTCGTGGTAGCTTCCAGGCGTCGCTTGGTCTCGCTTTTATCCTGTACTTTGCGGCTCGAGTTAGTCCAGCCGGTGGCACAGTTCAGCTCGTCTTCCGAAAAAGTTTCAATATCGGTGATTGGCATTGGGGTGGCTGAAGCTGCGGTTGTGATACCCGTCTTGGACGGTGGTACATCGGACTCCGAGATGGTGGTAGTGTACGCATCTTGGTCAGCTTCGATAGCCGGAATGGCTTCAGACAGGACGGCTGTGCCGATCTTTGAAGATACACACTCCGTTGGAGCCGTCGTCATGTTGGCCAGCAGGTCCGTGTACATCACGGGAACTTTGAGGATGGTAGAGATGTCGGGTAGCGTCGGGTCCACCTCGACAGAGATGGAGCAGTCGTCGTCGCTCACTTCAGCTCCCCGACCTGGAAATTTGCTGCTGATCTCGTCCGTCGTGTTGGCTGACGTCACGGGGTCATAATCAAGCGACGTGGCCATAGTCTGCTCTATCTGTCTCGGCCACCAGAGCTACAGCAGCCATAGATGAGGTGGCGATGCACCACATAGACCATGCTAAAGGAGTGAGAAGACGAGGGTGAAGTAGTTCGCTAGGAAGTGAGAAATTGGGGAATGACCTTCGTCCAGCTTGCGAGACTAGCGAGTATTCGGTAGTTGAAGTCGGACGCCCAGTGTACGACTAACTTGTTGAAAGATAGCTACGTGCTGGTTGCGGCACATAGAAGGTGACGTGTGGACCTACCGATTGCACCATCAAATGGCAACGTGAGAGCTCAATACAACAAGCGAAACCAGACGAAAGGATGCCAGAATTCAAGGAAGTGTGCTACGCTCTCTAGGATCGCCCGTTCGTAGGGCGATGGACTATCATCCGTACTTAAGCGTCGGCGATACCACGTGATACTCTATCAGCACGACTCAATCCATTGTACATGGTAGAAACTAGCTACTGCCCGAATTTGTCATTGTCCAGCGGAAGCCAGTTGGGGCAGACAACGAGCGACAAACGAAGAGGATCGAGTCAACGATGCTGTGACCCTTGAGCTCGTTCAACAGTCAATCATTTCCCACTAATCGCGTGAGTAGCTGCGTTCGTATCTCGTATGTTAATCGAAGGAACAAGATATAATGTGAAACACTGTATGGAACCTTCCGTCAGCGGTTTGCGACGATTAGACTCTCAGTGGCAGCTGCAAAGCAACTACAAGTCAATTTGGTGTCTGCTGCTTCCAGCTCTTACCGTATATTCCAATCTGCTGGATGAACTTACGGAGACATCCGTTCGCTCGAAAGTCCCCACAAACTTACGTAGAGATGGTTGACAACCCGCTTTCAAGTCGGACAGCATAATAGGCAGGATATTTCGGCGTAAAGCTTACAAATCTGTTGCCCGTGTTATTGCTGCACTAACGGTACGGTGCTGACCTGTAACTTGATGCTGATGGTGAACACCACTTCAAAACAGTCGCGGACGCATCCAAGTCAAAGCCTTTTTCAGATCACACAGTTACTTTTGTATTGGTTTTCGTGTGCACCGATCGGGCGAGGTTGGGTAAAATCGCTAAATCGATGAAAGGTTACACCTCCGGCGATCCCTTTCTTATCAGCTGCATGAATCATTTGAATCAGTACGGCTTCGAGTTGCATCCAAGGGATGTATTTGCGAATGTCAAAGTAGATAACATTAGTTGAAGGTCGTCATCGAACACCCGCCAGGTTTCGCTTATCACCTATCCCATTGGGCGGGGTTAATTCCTACTTACTTTTTCCCGCTATCCCGTGCTTCAAACGCGTCAAACGTTTTTTCAGGGATGGACTAAACTTTAAGACACATATGAATTCCAAACGATGCTTAATAGAAGGTGATTGGAGCTGTAGCGCATGCATTGCTTCCTTGCACGGTCTAGTTGCTGTTCGTGACCCATTTCCAAACACCGCGGTCAATGCAGATCCCAGAAGAATAGCTATCGCTTGCATCTGGATACGATTTTACTGGAACGATAATAAATGGACTCAGTGTACCGATGGCAAGGCAATTACGCGATCCGTGTTTGACAGGATCCTGCCACATGTAGTACACCACTCTGCTACAACGCAAGAGGCCGCAGTTCATTTTTACCTACCCAAAATATCGCTTTGTCTCCTCAACACACCCGCATCGTTCATTACGGCGATGGGCAATGACGCTCGCGCTAGCGTCTCCGCAACATCGGAATCGAAATCGAAGTAGCCGAACCTAGACCTGTGCTACGCCTCCAGCCGTCAAGTAGGCTCACCTAGCACTAAAATTTGGTCCACGCCAATATCGTAGTTAGTGCACGTCGAAAGCCAAGCCCTTCCCAGGCATCAAAAGTCAATTTTGCGATGTGCAAACGGTATATGACGGCATATCAAGGAAATATGTAAGGAGCACGGACCTTGTTTGATCACAGGTACAGCTACAGGAAAAACGAGTTCCAACATCGATTACTACTTCTTTTTAACCCAGATCTCCATCGGTGACCACAAGAGATTTCGGAGTAAGTTGGCATTGTAAGGATATGGAAGGCGGTGACAAGTTGAGCATTAAGTGAACACATTCCGCCTACTACATCTAGTATCACAGTCTTGACTTTACCGCTAAGACATGCGGGAGACCACGGATCGATAAAAACATGCAGCCCCACATTACTTTTCTCTTCGGTTGCAAAATCACAGATCAGGCTCAAAGATCATAGAGTGTAGTTGCTCTTTTTTATACAAGACCAATCGGCTTAGCCAATGTATGGCGACCGCAAGATCGGCCGTAGTGGTAAAAAAATCAAAATTGTAAACTTGTAAAGACGGCCGCTACGGAAAATGTAAAGGGTAGCCCTTTACATGATATTGACATTTAACGGTGTCAATAGGAATATTGTCTAGCGTGACAATCTTCTGCCAATATTACTTGAGACAGGTAAGATTAAAGAAATATTATCCCCTTTTGGAATAATATTTATGCGCTGCTCAACGATTGGTTGATAAAAGACACATCAACCAAATCTACTACCGGTCGCTGCCAGACACGCGCATTGGGTGGTGAGCAGGTTGTCGTCACACGAAAACAAAGATTGGCAAAGTTAGATAGAGACTGAAGTTACATTGATAGCTTAACTATATTAAGTACAGTTCTCTTTTTAGCTTTACTTAAACTAGTAGTTTAAGTAGAACACTTCCTCTGCGCGTACGATGAACGTGAAGTTTTGTGGCACCCAAGCGGAGGGCGACCCGTTACACACATTTCTGGGTTACCTAAGCGCTAAGCGTATCGAAGTAAAATTATTAAGTTCGCTCAACATGGCGAAACCAAAGAGTGCCTGGTCAATTGAAGCACTCAGGTCACTGCACCAATCGCCGAGCTCCACAAATTTCCTAATGTCTTCTTTTGCAATCGCAAAAAGCTTCCACAAGGAAGCCACGTTATCAAGAACATGGTTCAGTCAAATCGGTTCTTCATTAAGCTCTATCTAAAAGTATATACGTGTTTTGATCAAATGAAGTATCCTAAAGTAGTAGTTATTTTTTTTGAGTTGGAGCATATACCAATAAATGTTAACGCCTACAGCAACAGCATTACGTAAGTTCCAGATCAATGTGTGTCTTGATAAGTTTATCACACTTATCAGGGCAGCCGGTTTATACCGGGGCAAGCCACAATACACTTACTCGCCCAGGACCCGAATCCTGATCAGGACCTTCTTAGACACCATTCACATATTTACTTGCAAGTCGACGAGAGGCGACCATCTATTTCTATTCTTGTGGCTCTCAACCAATAAAATAGCATTGCATAGGGCTAGATATCGTCTCACCAAAAAAAATTCAATTTCTATTACACTCTTCATCAGCACTCTGTAGCGCGGAGGCACCGACCTCCTTTGTCAAAGGAAGAATTATTGACGCATCGAGGGTCTAGGTGTTCCAATCAGACGGTGATAAAACTAATGTAGTCTTAACTTTTTTGCGTAATGAGGCTCTTCTCTAGGTACCCTTGGAAGCTCGTAAGCTTTTAGTCCTGATTCAGGGGACCACGATTTTCAGGAATTACGTGGCATACAAACCAATAGTACTAGTGCAACGGGGCACTGGTGACTTGTCTTGACACAGTACAGGTCAGCCTACACTGACAAAGTGTAAGTAGTAATACGCGCCACCTCACGTGCAATGTACGTGCAGAGTAAGGATAGCTATCAATGACGCGCTCAATAAATGCGTGCCAAGCCTTGAAGCTGCCATACACTACCCTCAACCTACACCTTCCGGCACCTGTAAGAAAATGTTTTTACCATCTTATCTCGCGTGCAGTCATTTTTGGGTGGTCGCCTGACAACTGCCTCACCAAAATATGTAACACAGAACTAATTGTGGCTCGGACGCGGTATCCCGTCCTCCGGTGCACACGCAACGTAGATTGCAAATTAAAAAATGAATTTAATTCAAATTTTTTATCAGATTATCTAAAGGGGATTGCTAAATTCGCACCCCTTTTTCTAAGAAGCACACCCTTCCTTCATATTCTATAATTTTGGACATGATGTTTTAGTTGATGTGCCATGTGCACAGCATGTGTGATGAAGATGGGAATATTTTATCGATAGCTGCCATCAGCGACAGTTCACGGTCTGTCACAATCACGGCTGGGCGTGTCCCTGGTGACAGGATGGCTGCAAGTTTTGATAATGCCCACATGCAATCGTTTTGCTTCTCTTCTTTAAGAAAGCAGAAGCCAACCGAAAATTGGCGATTAAAGCTTGTCATACCAACGATGTGAAGTAAGAAGAGTCGGTACTTGTCTGTCTTGTATGTGCAGTCTATAAGCACGACATGATGGTATTGGCAAGCAAGCCAAATGCTTTCTTTGTGAGCAAAAAAAGGGAGGTTATTGCTCCATCATCATCACAACTTGAAAGTGCGTAAAATTGCTTGCTTGCAAATAATCAAAAAGAGCTTGTATCGGTGTCCTTCCATTTAACTTGTCCTTTCGAAGGTTTGTACGCTCATTGTACAATGTAGAGAGGTTTGCTAGGGCACCGTCATTCTCCAAAAGAAGGTATGAAAGAATCCCTAACGGTTTAACACCAGCCAATGTCATATTTCTGACAGTATCGGCCTGCTCGCTATTTAGCTTTCTATGGGTCGAATGACCAGACGGATGGAGTGACGGCTCGTGATTGTAACATCAATTCATCACGTTTAGCTTCCAATTACACCTTTTTCACAGAGAAATCACCACTTAAAAGGAACGGGCAATCAATTCGGCGTGAATTGGTCTGGCGTTGGCGCTTTTTTCCCAACCTTGGTACGTTTACGGCACATCGGTCACATTTAAGGTAGACACGCTTTCCTGCAATCGAACTTTTAATCGCAACAGCATAGCCTTGGCCACGTGCGAACGTCTGCACAGTATCCATAAGTTGCTCCCGACTGGCATACTCAACCTCGGGAAGAGGAAGCATGCTATT